TAGACCGATTTCCTCGGGATGGACGTTTACTGTGGTCTTCATGTTTTATTTGGGGAGTCCTCCTTCCCCCTTCTGAACTTTAATGGCTACCTGTTATGAAACATAAATAACTCAAAAGACACAAAGTAAAACAAATATTGAATGAGGTATCTGTTCCAATGGAGAAGTTTGCTTTCATGGGAAAAGAGACTGTTGTGCCCTCAACCACCTTACTCATTTCTCTCTGCTTTCCAAATTCTGGGCTTTTAGCCAGACGCCCTAAAAATAAAGACATGAGAAAAATTTAATCCAGGTCAAGAGACTGAAAGCTAAGATTCAAACAATAACATCTCGGAAAGGACAACAATTCCATTTATCCCACAGACCTGCTGCCTTTTATTTGAGACTGTCCTCAAGTCTCGCACTCTTCTTCGTGAGTGGTTATGAAAATTGATTTCTTGTTTGGTTCATATCACTTTACACAGTAGCCGGGCCACTGCGGAATTCACCATGCCAAATGTAATTTCAGGAAGAGAGAGGTCTGTTTGTGTGGAGAGAGAAGTACAGAGGGACTTCTGTTCTCGGCCTCAGTCGTTCGGTGAACGGTTTTGAGGGTTTGGGCTTAGGGAATAGCCACTCTTCGTTTTCGAAACGTAAACTGTAAAGTGGAAACTGAACATGGGTGATTTGTTTCTTTAAGGGTATCAGCATGTCCACAGCAGGGTAGGTGCAGACATGTCATCTGTTGTAACAAGTCACTGAGTGATGCCATATATACACAGTATGGAATAAGGCTGTCGGTTAAATGAGTGGACTAAATGTAATTAAAACCAAACAATACAAAATCTAAACAGCCTGCTTTGTTCCATAGTTAGACTGAGTGATGAATAACCACAAAATGAGACAAGATTCAGCTACTTTCTTTTCCCCACAAAGAGGTTCAAGTTTTAGATGGATGGTTAGCATCATGCTTGACTCAAAGCCCATGAATTCAGATCTGTGTTTGTTAGATGAAAAAGCTTTTGTAAAAACCACAGCATGCTCTCCAGCCTTAACTGTCCTTTGGAAAAAGAAAGAAATGTGTATTCTCACTCAGGTCTTACTCGGTCGCGCCTGTCTGACTCTGCACGGTACTAAATTAAACCTTAAACTAAGTTGTGCTTATTTTGATATTCATAAACATGGAAACAAAAATTGTTTAAATGTATTTGTATACTTGGCAAATCTGGGAAGAAACCACACTGAGTTTGTGTGTAACAGTTTACACACTAAAAAACCACATGTGTATTTCTTTAAAGTGGAGCCTAATTAATTTCCTTGGAAAATAAAACATTACATAACATAAACATTAATTATTTATGAACATTTTTACGTGTAAGTTTTAAAAAAATAAAAATTCATGTATTATCTCATATGTTTTCATATACCATATATACCATAAGTCAGGCGGGATAACACTGGTTTTTTTTTTTCCATTGAAATGCATAATTTCACTAAATGGAGTTGAGGAAACAATAATACAATGAGATAAATAAACAATATAATGAGAAATTTTTTTTCTGATCTCTAAATATTGTTTACTGCATCACTTTACATATTCATTAGCCTAATTATTATTGATTGAAAAGTTTTAATATCACAATATTTAGAAAATTCATTAACGTTGTCCCAAATGACATTTTGACTGGTGTCGCCACATAATTCTCAGATGATTGGTCCAGGTCATGTCTTATAAGTGCATATAGAAACTTGAGATTTCACCATCTCACTCTGGAAATCTCACTCTGCTTTTGTGCAAGGTCAAAGTCAAGATGTCCAAATGAAATGGTAAAACACTGCTCTCTTGTGGACATTCTATGATCAGAATGTTGAACACACTGTTTATAGTTATGATGCACTTGTGAATATAATTCCCCACTGGATTTGTTCTAAGAATGAATTGGATGTTGCTGTGAACTCTCAAAATAATTTGTACAACTGCCTCAAATTAACTAAGATGTTGCTAGCTGGGCAACAGGAGAGGTCTGACTGTGAAGGACACGTCTGTTTTGTGTTTTCAGTAAATGCAGAGGCTTCACTCAAGCAGATTGGTTTTGTTGTGGAATGTTCCACTTGGTGGAGTTCCAGTCTGCACTTTTGAAGGCTTTTATAATTTGACTAATCCAGGAGATTGTATCTTGGCAAGAAAATGCTCCTCATGTTCTCATGATCAGACACTAACCAAAACAAGATTCATATTGTGTATAGTAACTTAAATAGTTATGTGCAGTTATGGCATCATAATACAATTCCTTTTAAAGATTATTAAAATAATTGCTAATCGTCCAAAGGTTTATTACTGAGAACTTTACACATGCTTTAAATTATTTTTATGTTTGTTATGGAAAAAAGGAAATGCATGCATAGTTATTAAATTAAAATATATGTTTTATTAGCCTTTGATTAGAGTTTTTGTTTTTTAGAAATGAAGTGGACAGATAAGCATAACCTTTGTTTTAATGACTTTTAATTAAAGTTAGGCCTATTATAAATTGTTTAACATGAAAATTGTTATACAAATATTAAAAAGTCTAACAGTGGATCAGGTGATATTTTTTTTAATTTCTTTTTCTTTTTTCTTTTTTTACATTTATGTAGCTTACATCTTTGTAATCAACTCCAAACTATATGCTCATAATAATAAGGAAACATAGCAGATGCCGTTTCTGTAGATCCACAATCATTGTTTGAGCTACAGAATGAATGAGAATAAATAGCCTATATGTAGATGGTTCAAAATAGAAATATATAACATAAAATAATCAAAAGGAGACACAGATTGTCAAAATGAATTAAGCAAAAAACAGTCATTTTTGAGTCAATAATTAAAAGGGCCAAGGGTTATACAAATATTTAAACTTTAATTTTAATAATTATACAGGCATGAAGACTTTTTATCGGAGACGTACAGCGCGCTCGGTGTTTCTATAGTGATGATGACGCTTCTGGTCAAATACATTTCGGTTGATACTATTAACTCTCCTTTCCAGATATCATAGTGCATATCAGATTGACAAACATCAAACTATTTATCACTTAAAGTAAGACGACAATAAGACGATAAGACTGTGTGCGCTTCACCTGCGCGAAAGGCCCTCAGAGGTTCGTGCGCGTGTGTTTTCCTCAGTATCCCGGCATGCACCGCTTTATTTAGTGTTGTATCTCCGGGAGATGACAGACACAACCCTCTCTCTCTGCCCCAGCGAAGAGAACCCCCCCGCGAAGCTCTCCTCTCAGCAGCCCGCAGACAGCAGAATCAAGCCCATCTCTACCCAGCAGCCATAATCACAGCCCGTCTTTCTGGTAGGTGTCGGCCGCATCTTTGCGCCTCGCTCCTGGTGTTACGCGCATCTCAGCTGCACCTGCTCGCGCTCGAGCCCGAGCCGCTGACTGAAACTAGCGATGTGTTTCAAAGAATACCTACTGTAGGCTACTAGCTACATGATTCTGAAAACAGCACTGGCACGTATAGTGTAAGTATGCAGCTTAGCGCTGGCACAGATAGCGGTTGTTGCTGTTGTTGTTGGTTGCTTGTTGCGTATTTTTCGGACGGATGAGGTCATTCATCGACTCGAATGAGTCGGTGGCTGATTATTGTGACCATAACTAACGTTAGACAATGGTGAGGAAGATAGATGTTAATACCCTAAAAGTGGCACATAGATGTCATTGAACACATTATTGACATTGACACTGACACATTCTGGCTGCTTGTTTATGATGTTGGATACATTCTAGAGCGGAATGCATAGGAGGATATCTGTGTTTAATTATTTATCATGATTGTCAGCTTACTTGTATTACAATAAAAAAAAACTGCTATGATATAACTATCAATTGAATGTTTTATATTTTTATAATGTTTTTTGTATTAATGCGTCAGTCTTTGTTTGATTAGAATGGTCTTGTTAACTGAAAATCTATGGATTTTACTTAGCAGATGCATGCAGTATTGTTTTGAACACGTGCTGTCGTTTCTCCAATGTTCACGGGTTTTGAGCAAAGCGCAACCGTCTTGTGTTTCTAACCTTTTGAATGTCTTAAGTTGTATCTGTTATTTTATAGGATGGTCCTATTATCTCGATTGTTGCGCTGTCCGCAATGCAGGTGCTGTTTATGACCCTGCTCATCCCCAGCCATTCTCACGTGCATGTGTTGATGTGCACTGGCCAATCAGATGCTGCCATGAAAGTCCCACATTTTATTTATCATGGTTTTTGCATTGTTTTCTTTATGCTCAATATATAAGTGATTTATTTAATAATTAAATGAAAACTAAGTGAAACTAAACTACATTTATAATACTATCTGATATTTAGTTGCTATAAACCCGCTGCTGTTTTTTTTGTGCAGTGCATAATGTCATCATGTAGCTTACATCATGCAGGAGAATGAAGGCCTAGTGGGTGTGACTCAAGGGCTGGTCCTCTCCAAAGCACTGGATGTTTGTGTGTGTGTGTGAAGTGTCTATTAGGACTAGGATAACAGTGTTTTGGAGTCTCCTCTAACGCTGCAGCTCATTGATTATTAATGCGAGAGAAGAGAGAATTTGGAGGTCAAGAAAAAGAGCTGTTAAGGGAGAGAGTGAGACAGTACGGGGAGAAAAAAACAACAGAGTTAAGTACTAATGTCAGGGGGATTCTTTTGTCTCATGTGGAGCGGGGCGGGGGAGATGCCTCGCCCTCTGACTGTACAGTAGGGACCGACATCAGTCAGATCAGAGCAAATGTCAGCATCAGCGCACTAAAATGTCTACCAGCCCATAAATGGTCCCTAAAGGAGGGGCGAGGGAGTGTGTCGTGACATGTGCCGTGGAATATCACTTCTAAAGTGCTTCCAGTGTCTGTGATTGAACGGTTAATTTACGGTAAGCAGTTAGATACCAGATTCAGATGGTGATGGGGTGCACTCTGATTCTAATGCTTGCTTGATGCCTCATCAGTGAGTTATGATTTATTGTGTTATCACACTCAGTACAAAAGCTGTTACTGGGACAGTACCCTTTAAAAAGGTTCTAATGTGTACACTTTTGGTACCTTTGAGGTACTAATATGCACTATGTACAAATGTGTCTTTTTAAAGGGTACCACTGACTCCAATACAGCTTTTGTAAAAAGTGTGTGTTCTATTAGGGTTATGTCTTTTAAAATATTATGGGAATTTATAGACTAAAATGCCAAATAGGTTGGCTGTTAAGGACTTGAATAATGGTCAGAGGCTTTAAAGAAAGGTGTCAATGAAATCCAAAAACAACAGGCTAATTGGAAATAAAAGTACTCTTCCTAGATTTTTGCAGAGCTTCAAAACCATGGATACTAATTACTGCAGTTTCCTGGCAGTGAAACACCAACAACTTTTATTTCACTAGCTCGGACTTACAAGTCAAATAGAATAAATGGTTTATGTGCATTTGGCATGCGTGTCCGATGAGAGGGCTCAGGGCTCGGTATTTGGTCCAAACCCAGAGTACTTCCCCCGTTTTCCTGGCTGTGGTAGGATCAGGCCAAGAGTGAGGAGTCGGGGTGTTGGAGGGATGCTGAAAAACTATCGAGGAATGTACAGTAGGTGAGTTGACTGTGTGTATAGGCTTTCCTCTCATGCTGATAGGATAGACGTGTTTAGTTAACACAGTCTCATCCCAAATCGTCATATAACTGACGTTTTGGGACGTATTTTGACCATACGTCAATATCCGCCTTTTTAGGGCCCCCTTAAACGTCGGTAGATGGCGATCCCGGGCCGTCATACAACTGACGCTTTACCTTTAACGTCAGTTAGGTGACGGGTTAGGTTTAGGGTTAAGTTTAGGTATGGGGTAGAGTTAGGATCCCATAACCTCATCTACCGACGTTTAAGGGGGCCCTAAAAAGGCGAATATTGACGTATGGTCAAAAGACGTCCCAAAACGTCAGTTATATGACGATTTGGGATGAGACCGGGTTGGTTTAGTGCAGTTGAACGTGCTTGCTCATCCCGAACACAAATTTTTTGACACAAATTATGATCGGAGATTAACGATTAATAGTAGGGGTGTAACAATATATCGTGTCACAATATATCGTAATACAAAAATGCAACAATATGTATCGTGAATAGTGATATTGTGTATAGGTCACCCAAAATGAAAATTACTTTGCGTGAAAAAATTCAACTTTACAGAGTTTTAGTGTCAGTGAGTACTACATTAAACTACTATATGATGTTAAATATAATTTATAATAATGCAAGGGGGGTAATATTTATGGGTCCTTATAATGTCAAATGCCTACATTATTTTAAATGCATCTACACTCTCAGAAAAAAGGTACAAAAGCTGTCACTGGGGCTGTACCTTTTCAAAAGGTAAACTATTGTCCATTTCAGGTGCTAATATGTAAATTTTAGGTGCTAATGTGTACATTTTAAGTGTTAATATGTACAATTTTGGTGCTAGTATGTACATTTTAGGTGCTAATAAGTACATTTCAGGTGTTAATATTTACATTTTAGGTGCTATGTACATTTTAAGTGTTAATATGTACATTTTAGGTGCTAATATGTCAATTTGAGCTAATATGTCCATTTTAAGTGTTAATGTACATTTTAGGTGGTAATATGTACATTTTAGGTACTAATATGTACATTTTAAATGTTAATGTACATTTTAGGTGCTAATATGTCCATTTCATGAGGTAATATGTCCATTTTAGGTGGTAATATGTCCATTTCATGAGCTAATATGTCCATTTTATGTGCTAATATGTCCATTTTAAATGTTAATATGTACATTTTAGGTGCTAATATGTCCATTTCAGGAGCTATAATGTCCATTTTAAGTGTTATATGTACATTTTAGGTGCTAATATGTCCATTTCATGAGCTAATATGTACATTTTAAGTCTTAATTTGTACATTTTAGGTGCTAATGTCAATTTCATGAGCTAATATGTCCATTTTAGGTGGTAATATGTACATTTTAGGTGTTAATATGTACATTTTAGGTACTAATATGTACATTTTAGATGTGTACATTTTAGGTGCTAATATGTTCCACTAAGGTACCAATATGCAGCCTTTGGGTACAAAAGTGTACCTTTTGAAAAGGTACAGTCCCAGTGACAGCTTATGAGAGTGTATAGTGAAAAATAAATCATTAATATTTTTATTCTTGTGTCACCATTGTTTTGTGCATTGGGTTAACAGCACCAAGTCCAAGCCTATTTATGTCCACACTCAATATAATACCAAAATGTAGCATTTTAATCAACAGTTAATTTTTTGTTTAACATTGTATTATGTCTTGGAGTATCACAAGAATATCGTATTGTGAGCTCCTGTTCGTGGTATTGAATCATGACATGAGGGTATTGTTATTGTTACACCTCAAATTAATACATAGCCTTATTTTCACGTGGTTCCTTGCACAATAATAAGTAACAACCTCAACATTTTTACAATACAGTGAAATATTTGTAAACGAATACATTTGTAAACAAATACATTTAGTCACTTTGCACTTTTCTCCTTGTTTGGTAGCTCACTTGGTACTAAAAAAAAACATTGTGCTTGTATATAGTCCTGGTTGTGAAAATAGGAGGGAGAAAAAAACAATCCACAGACCGATCCGCTGAGCAACAAAACACTAAGGAGCAATCATCATTAAGGAGTGGATACACCTAATATTGGAAAATCTTTTCAGCACTTGAGAGGCGTTAGAGAGCAGGAAGTGAGTTGAACTAAGTTCGGTTTTATCTAAAACAGGTGAACATAAATCTGGCAGCGTTTTATTACGACGGTTGTTGGACATATCACGGCAGTTCGGAAGAGATTTTTAAAACAAACAAATGGTATGATGTAAAATGAAAAAGAAATATGTCACTTTTTCCAGGACCTTAATCAAAGTGAATTTGGGATGTTGATCATGTGACTCTTTGTGCAGCTAGTCAGATGTTCTTGCTTTCATTGGAGCTCAGTCTGGAGAACACGGTCATCAGGTTTTACAAAAACGTTTGGAGTTCATGCAACCCGAGTGGTGCTGTCATTCAAGCAAAACCAAATTTTTAGTAGCTCATTATATGACGTTTTTATGATGTCATGGCGGGTGCTGGGAAGCTTTTATTTCAAGTGCTCATGTCATTTACGAGGTGACACCATCACTTGCAGTTGTACATTATTATTAGGATTACTCATAGTAGGCATACAAACTCCTTCACTTTACTTTTCATTATTCATAAAATATTTATAGTTTTTTCTCCACGGAGCCTCGTAGTCTCTCTCTCTTTCTGTCTTTAAGTAATGGAGGTCATCTGTCAAAGTCCTTTGTTATGTAGCTGTTTTCTTGAGCATTACTGTACTATTTTTTTAAGCTGTTTAAGCACAGCAGGTTTGACCGTGGCAAAGTCATTGTGACTGTGTAATGTCTGGATGAGCTGTGCTGGGAAAAAACAGGTGCGCTATTAATGACACCCAACTGTTGTCATAAGTGGATTGTGTTGGTGTTCATCAGTATGACATGGAAGAAAAAATCTTTATCGTGATGTGAATAAATAAGCAATATGAAATTTTACAGTGATTCCTGAAGGATCTTGTGACACTGAAGACTGGGGTAAATTTATTGACATCGAATAAATTACAACTTAAAATATATTTCAATAGATAAAAAGTTCTATTATTTGCACATGCATTTTTGATCAAATAAATACAGGGTAACACTTTAGAATACGGTTCCTTCGTTAATGAATAACTACGCAAGAACCAATAAGTAACACAATATTATTATTAACTAACAATAAACTCGGATTAACGAACTAGTAAGTAATAGCGAACAGATGAAAGTGGTAGTTCACTATTAACTAATCAATAACTACAATTTTTTGAATGCTTCCCAGACAACTACTGAAAGTTTATTAACAATCTAGTAACTACTATTAACTAAAAATAAAACATTATAGTCTCAAGTCATGCGCAGTTGCGCACAAAAAAGTCAACAATCATTGGACGTTTCAATCAAACAACAATTTAAAGAAATATTAACATACAGTAATAATCATGACGTATTTTGAATGGGACTCGAGAGGACTCGGGAATAAGACCGAGTCCCGACTCCCAATATGTTCGAGTACGAGTCAATTCCGAGTCAAAATGCACACGAGTCCATGACAAGACCGAGTCCATTAAAATATGGACTCGAGACCGAGTCCGAGTCTCGAGTGCACAACACTGTTAAAAACCATATAACGACCCCGAACTTTTGAACAGAAGCGCATATATTTCATTATATTTAATAAAGCTTATCATTTCATGGACCACCACCACTGTTCAAAATGGATGCAAACAACAAAAAGCAGGCTTCCGTTATTAAAGACATCATTCTTTGTGCCCTACCCTGCTTGTAGTTAGTGCATTGTTTCTGTAAATCTTCACGGTTTGCATACTGTATGTGGTGATATAGAAGAAATCGAGAGGGGAAGACAGCAAGTGAATGAATAAAAGAGTGGGACAGAGTCTACTGGAGTCTTCTCTGCGCCGCACCCACAGCCTCCCATTACTCATTCATGCTCATCGGCTTTTCATGAGCTCCGCTGACTAGCAGTCTAACTCCAACATCATCTTAACCTTTTTTAGCCATACTGTTAGTGTTCATCTTCAAATATATGTTTTTTCCCCCCCAGAAACCCACAGTGCTTTTGTTTTCCCTTTCAGTGTGTAAAGCGATTCCAGTCTTCCTTTTGTTGTCTGTCTGGTGAAGAGCTGTGGTTAGTCTGTCAGAGTAAGACTGTGTTTAAATTTTCTGCTCCTGTCTTCCGATCAACCACACTACCAGTTTTGGCTGCTCCTTCTTCTCATTTTCAACTTGATCTCATGAGACTATATGCTGCATAAGTAAAATCACTGCAGCGTCCGCTGTTTGACGCTAAAAGTGATTTTGATTGTCTACGATAAAGTCTAAAAGTCTGAATAGTGTTTCAACGTGAATGCATTTTGTCTTAACCCCATTCCTGATCAAAACAAATTTTTTATCACTATTGCATTTGAAGTCGTTCTTTCACTCTAATCTTGATTTGTGTTTTGGGAATAAAAGTTGGGAGCACTTCTACGCCACTAGTGCTCGTTTCCGCAGTAATATTTTTCACATTTTGTAGTCACGTTTTTTTTTTTTTCCCATGAGAGCAGAATAGCAGAGAATGACGGTGTAATTATCAATGCGGACCCTTAACATACCCAGGGCGCTTTCTCCTATCTTTGTGTTTCTCCTCTGGATTTGTCAGTTTTATTCTGTTGCATCATCTTAATAGAAAGAAGTGCCCCCAAAGGGAAGAGTCTGCCGAAATACAATGGAGGCAGTAAGAACTGTTAATAATTCATACTAAACACAGGGCTTTATGAGTACTCTTTTACTAAATCAAAGCCTTTCTTAAGGAGCCGTGAATGTGACACTTTTTATCTTCTGGCTGAAGCAAGAAACAAATTTTACCTGTTCAATTAATGAATTAGCCCACAAGTGATTTTAATTTAGGAAGTACAAACTGGAATATGTTATATTAGGCTGGGCCAAAGTGTTTTTAAAAGAGTCATATCATGAGCAA